CTGTCTACACACAAATTTAACCAAAACCTAATTAGACCTATGTCTAACCAATACTATCGATAGAACTGATCAGTTTTGAACGGCGAAGCTAAACTTCACCTTCTCTAAACAGGTGTGTGTGTGTGCGTGTGTGTGTGTGTGTGTGTGTGTGTGTGTGTGTGAGTGAGTGTGTGCGTGTGTGTGTGTGTGTGTCTGTGTGTGTGTGTGTGTGTGTGTGTGTGTGTGTGTGTGTGTGTGTGTGTGTGTGAGACCTGCCCTGAGAAGACCTGAAATTCTGCTTCCCTGAGGCCATCAGTGTACTCAGGGAATATGATGCATAGTATCAGCAGCAGGAGGAATCATGTCTTACCTTGCATGAGGTAGCAGCACAAATATTCTCCCACTTCATTAATTCTTTACAAGGACAAAAGACGGATGGTTCAACTTTTCTTACCAGTTGTAACTGTAGGCTAGACACGACTCATCAGGATACAGATTATTTTTACATCAAGTTTATAAATGTTGTTTTACTAAAACCTGACTACAAAAAAATGTAATCTGCTGTAACCTGTTTCCGCCATAATCATGAGCTGCCCCGTTGTCGTGGGAATAGCAGTCTGAGCAGGAATCCCACGGCAGCGTAGAAAGGACATGGCGAGGGTCTGCAGCCCCAGCAGGGTGGTGTTCTTACTCTCCTCTGAGTTCATGATCTTCAGGACGTACTTGGTACCTGGTTCATCCATCACCAGGAAGTTCTGGTCCATATAACTAGGCAGGGCGGAGATCTCTTTAACAGTGACTCCATAATGCTGCAGTGCTAGTTTAGTAGCTTTCTGCAGGCTGAATTCAGGCCTTGGATTGACAGGTGATTCATTATCTGCACACAAGGGAAGAATGACAAGACAATTTAACATAATCTTTTTACAGGTCACCTAACCAAAGACAAAAATGTAGTCCCAGGCCTACAAAATATAAAATCTCAGAAACAAGCTGGGATGAACCATTGTTGCTTTAGCTCCCTATTTTTGGATGATTTATTTTCCTCTTACAGCGCATTTAAGTCATCACATAGATACAGATGATGAAGAAAATCAACAGCCCTGTTACGTTAGACCAAACTAATGTTAGCCCCATTAGTTTTCCTGTTAAGCTTCGTTAAAGAAATGTCATTGGTCAGTTTTATATCCTGTTTTATTTTGTCATTTCGCCCTCCTAGTGTTGCTGTTTTACGTGTGTGTTTCTTGACTGTAATATTCTTAAGTTTAGTGTTTCCTGTTTTATTTTGTAGCCTTTGTCCCCTGTGTATGACCTGGGGCCCGTTTCTGAAAGAAGGTTTCGTGCAAACTCTGACTCAGTTAACCCTGAAATGAGGGAAACTCTGGGTATTCCGTTTCAGAAGAGGAGGTCACTCAAACTCGAGAAAGAGGGGTAACTCCAGCCCGTTTCAGAGGGAGAGGTTACTTTACCTCTGAGTCAGTTACTATGGTAACTGAGTCTGTGAACCTAACCTGGTCGGGAGCAGGTTTTGTTCAATGAAGCCCGAGTTTCTCTAGGTCTCCTCCCTCTTTCAGAGCAGGAAACGCCGTTTAATTTCCTCATTCTTTCATTCAGTCCTTATCACGCCGTGTTAGTGAAGATTCACCGGTTGTCTGAATAAAAATCCAGGTTGTTTTAATATGATATGTGAGGGTGGCAATAGCCTACTACAGAGTATAAAACGAACTATTTTATCGAACATGGCATGTCTTTAAGTCGGTATGAAGGGGCTGCATTACTCCGTAGGAAATTAGAGCCTGGGCTACATTAACGTGATGTTAAATGTTAAATAGAGATGTTAATTTAATAGGGATAATTTATAAACTAAACAGGAGAAAGGTGAGAGGACATTTAGCCTATGTGTGTGAATACAGCTCAAATCAACTCAGAGCTCAGGGTTAGACTGAGGGTTTGTTGAACCTTCTTTCAGAAACGGGCCCCAGGTCACTTCATATCTTCAAATACTCTCCCAGTTGTTTTTAACCATTCAGTGAATTCTATAAAATGGTTTAAATGCTCCTACAAACACTTATTTTAAATCAGATATTCATTTAAAAATAAACTAGAACAGCTGACAAATATTATGAATGATTAAAAAAAAGGTTTTGAAAGATATGTCTCAGTAATTGAACAGAATATTAGTTTGCTTACCCATCGTCTTTCTGCTGAGAGTGTGCAGGAGGAGTTGAGGGGATGTAGCTATAGAGTTTGTTTCAAGCTTTGCTATTGGCTTTTTATCACAACTCTGTGGACATTCCAGTCAAACTCGATTCCCCCCTCAAGCAAAGTGAAACATATGTTTGGGTATTCAAACATTCTTCATGTCCAAGCGAAAACATATTCAGTGTTTGAATTTTTTTTTTTTAAATGATTATGGATAAATATTATGTTTCACACAGTTCTCAAACGGAACAGTTTTTATAGAATACTTGTATTATTTCTCTTTGCTGATAAAATCCATCTTTTCTGAATCCTTTCTGTGAAAAGCCTCAATGAAATATAAACCATGAATGGAACAGTTGGGGGTTTGTGAGCCTGAAGCTCTAAAAACCTGTCCTGACTCCTACAGGATAATGGTAAAGAATTTTGACTATGAGAACCAGTCCCACTTTGCCGGAGGCGGGGAAAAACTCAAAGAGATGAATGCTACTTCATCAAAAGTGCATACTGTAGAAGAAGTTGACTGGGGGTTTGTTTGCCCTCAATAGGAGTAGGGTTTTATGAGGATCACAAGAGGGCAGTATTACATCACATTTTACAGGGGGGATAAAGTAGGCCTACTCAACAATTCTTAATTTATCTGTAGCCAACTATATTTGATTTCTAAAACAGTTAAATTCATTTTTAATACATCTACAAGTAATATATTATCTGTATGTATTGTAACTGATTGGTTTCCAATAAGAGATTTATTATTTGTATTAGTGCGGTAAACCTTTTAGGATCAACTGGAAAAAAACAATGAAATGACACAAGACAAGATCAATGTTTTACTGTTTTATAGAACATACATGTATGGTCGTCTTTAAAGTGATCTTAAAATTTGTTTACACGTTTGCTTCTTGGTTTAAAATATTTCAGTGTTTTATGGGCTATTTGTACTGTCTTAAACAGAGAGTACGTTACTTGCTGTTTCAATTCAACCCGGCTTTTATTTTGAAATAAAGCAAATAAATGAAAACAGCTAGAAGGAACGGCATAAAAGTGACATGTTTGATGTCAAGAGTTGTATATAACATTTATCTCGTCAACAGATCCATCTTGAAGTTTTTTTGGGGTTTTTTTAAGTGAAATGAGACATTCAAATATGCAGCACTTCTTTTTCATCAATGATTCTACAGAGAGACACAGCTGAGGTTTATCCACGGTTCGCCTGAAGGGACAAAATAGCATGCGATAATTCGCGAATTGAAAAAACATTAATTTCAGACCTTGATAATCGCGATCAAATCGTTATTGCTCACAGTCCTAATAAATATATTTAAGTTAGCAACAAAGGGACAAGTTAAGTAGTAACAAGACTTACCAATTTCTTGTTTTAAACTCGTACCAGTTCAAAAACATCTTTTACAATGTAGGTCAAAGCCTCATCAGTATTTTTTTTATGGAACAAGTACAGCTGCCCCTTTATCAGTATAATTAAACTGAAAAAAAGATTCTAAATGTAGCAGTAATTACCTTCAGCAGGGTAGAGCTCATTTATTAAGGATAGTATCTCAAATGTTTTTTTATAAAATGGTGCTACAGCAGTGATACATAGCTGTTATACATTTAATACAGCCTCACTGAGATCATTTATTCTTTTGTTTATTCACGTGTTATATGAGACGATCAAATTCTGTCACTCATCAGTGTGCATGCTGATACAGATATGTACCTCATCACACACTGCTTTTTAAATGTTTCTAGTCATTTATTTCTGATGAACATTTAAATTGAATTGTATTTGATCAGTATGATTGTACTAAGGTATAAGAGTGCGTCTGTGTATGTGGGGGCATAGAGATTATTTTTTGACTCATGATCTCTCATTTCCTTGACAGGAGTTTGATGTGGAAAACCACATAAACTGTTCACATGTATAACATACTGTAGTCCCAGTTATCTCTTTGCACAGATTACCAGCAAATGTCATACATGTCAAGTATGTAATGTTCTAGTTCTAGTTTAAGCATGTCTACTTTGTTTTATTGCTGAAAGAACCAGTAAAAGACTACAAAGTCTCACAACTAATCAGTTATCCTTGTATACCTTTATTGAAAAATGTAACAGACTCATTAAGGGCGGTAGTGTTATTTCATTTATTGAGATGACTGGAGCAGTATAAAAGTATAAAATGGTTCATGTTTGGACCCAGAAAGATGAGGCTTTTCCATCAAATCAGAAAGTAAACCAGCGTGCACCAAAGTATTGAATGTAAAAAAAATATGTTCAGCAAGACAAATGTGATGCGTGTAAGTAAACATGTCAGCGATGTGAGCCAACCAGATGCAATTAGCTTGTTCAGGAATGAGCCAAGTTAGAGAGGAGACAAAGTAGCCTCGGTCGTTTACATTATCTTTGGTGTAAATCTCATAAAATGTAAACAGTATAAAGACAGATTTAACAGTCAGGGTACAGCAAACATGTCTTCTAACCATAACACTGTTACTTATCAAGGCACAAAATACTCTGTGAACTACAAACAGGCAGCTAGTTGTGTCTTTGCATCGATCGAGTATCAAACCCTGATCCTTTGTTAATAGACAGGAAACTTTAACTGCCACACTATCTACCTTCCCTTCTGTAAAGGGACACGCAGATAAACCTGTGGATTAATACTTATTGCTCAGACTGGTGTTTGAATTACATACTGTACATGTCATTAAAAGTCTCCAAATGTCACCAAATGAATGTTATTCATCTTTTGAACTGCCCTGGTATCAACAAATATCATTTTGGTTGCATCTATTACAAGCACAGTTCACTCATTTAGACCGGTTATGAGTTATACACATACCATTAGGTCCATCTGCTTTAAGCACACCACTCCCTGCCTTATCTAACCTATAGTAAAATGACTTCAAAGTCCAACCAAGTGACCTGTAACCATTCAGAGGAAAACTTAGTTATAATGACTTGTATAATCCCTGGTGACTTTTGGCACTTCTTAAACACGATTATTCCATCTCTAAAAGGTAATACCTAGTCAGTAAAGGCTGCCAGAAACAATGGACCATGACCAATTGAGAAAGACAGACAGAAGGCGTTAAAAAAAACTTTCAACTGACTTTCCTAAAGTTATTTTCTATGCTACAATCGCTGATGCAGATACCGTATTAGTACTTCAATATTTCTGAAAACCCCACAATATACTGTTTTAAAGAGGACATATTATCCCCCCTTTTCTACCTTTTAAAACAGTCTCCTGTTGTCTAAATCAAACATATGTGCTGTGCTTTGGTCAAAATATAACATGAATCAAGCACCAGAGGAAGTTTGTGACCTTGTATAAACCAGCTCTCTCAGAACGCTCTGTTTTGGTGTGTGTGTCTCTTTAAATGCAATGGCTTTCCCTAAATACCTCTCACTTTCTGTCACCGATCTGAGCAGCACTCTGAAACCACACCTTCTCCACCTGCTCCTTTCCGAGCTCCCACATTTGATGGAGAATCTTGACGCCCTTAATGGAGGTAATCATCAGATACTCTGCATTTTCTGGGTACAAGGTCACTGAGTAACGAGCTAAAACCAACGACTGGCAGAAGCGGCACAGCACCAGCACAAAGAGACAGTCTTTCTCTGCCTCGTTCAGGGGAAGGACACTTTCCCAACCCGCCAGGACATGTCCACCCACCTCGATGGGATTAGGGTGCTCTATCATCATGTACATTATAACAATGGCCAGCTCATGGATGTAGTAGCCCCTGTTCATGTCTCCAAAGTCAAGGATGCCAGAAATCCTGTAGCCGTCAGTCTCATCAGGTTGGACAAGAATATTGAGGTCATTGAAGTCACCGTGGTTAATGCCTTAAAAGAAATACAGAAAGCGTTGTTTAGCTGTAACCAGAGTGCATGAGGACATATCCAGTCTGTGCTGAGAGAATACATGGTGTCAATGAGAATCCCAACAAGTGTCAAAGAAAACTACACCACTATTTTTTAAATGCTTAAAAAGAAAGGGATCATGTCTGACAAGGAGTCCATTACCAAGAGTATATGGACATACATTAATGACAATGGACATTAGTAACAGAAGTGTCCTGCTAATAATTCCATGGTCCTTTGTTTAAGAAATCATATACAACCCAGACGTTATGTTTACTTGCCTTTTGCTTTCAAAATGAGCCCTGAACAATATGAGGAAACCATGTAAAAATATGCAATAAATGCAATACATAAACAAGAATACAAACTAGCACTAGAACTCACAGTTTTTTATTTCTTTATAAAAAAGCTGTAGCTTAGTTTTCTTGTTATGCCTAGAAATTTGAAGACATAAAAAGTCATCACCATCTAGTAAAGTTCAGATGCCATGGAAACAGTGCCGACTCATTTAAGAAACATATTCATGCGTAAGCAGTGCATTCATTTAGAGCTCTGGACAGACAGACAGTCTACTAGTACTAGTTAGAAGGTGTCCAACCATCAGGAATATGTTAACACCCTGCAGCCAATCAGAATTGGCTATTTATTCAGATGATTTATTCTACTCTGTAAATAGCATACTCACACTTGCGAAAAGTAGAGCGTTTGGGGACCACAGAGGTTTTAAACTGATGAATAACAGACTTCACAACTTCCTGTAGAGGATCTCCATCCAACACGTGGGTGTATTTTTCCAGGAGGGGAACCAATGACAGACTCCAAATGAAAGTCTCTCTCTGCAGTAAACCCAAATGAGGGTGCTCCAGCTGAAAAAAATAAAATAATGATACAGAAGAGCAGATAGCAGAGGAAAAGGTGTGAGACAGTAGTTAAAGGAAGGTGTGTTTGTTTCTCAGCTCTGATCTGCTTTGAGAAGCAATGCTTGACTCTTCAGGTGGTCAGCCTTCATGTATATAAGAGGCAGTGAGTGACTCATCAAGGCCTTTTCAATTACTTTCTTAAGGGGCAAAATAAAATGAAGGGAAGGGATAAGGTACCCCAGACAATTACATTTCTTATGTTACAGTGGAGCTGTATAGCTGAGAATATAAATGTGTTGGCCACGCCCCTTTTCCCTGTAAAATATGGTCATCGTTTAAGTAAACAACCAGTTGTTGTAAATTCATGACTTTCTGTAAAAACTGGTAGCAGTATGACTTCACACCGGACAGTTTCATAAAACAATACATGTATTTCTATGAGAAAACAAAGTCATTAATAGAAACAGTTTTATAGGGTTTCTGCAGTGTATACCTCTTTTAGGATTTTGTCCATTCTGGCTGCTGTCTTGCCGGTTTCATACAGTAACTGTGGTGTCACTGGAGCCTTAGATATTGTAGCTCCAGGCAGATAAGTCAATAGCCGCACCAGGTACTTCTGACACCCATAGCCACAATCTGTCAAAGGTAAAAAGCATGATAAGTATCACTGCTGTTAACCTCGCTCCTAGCAAACCATAAAGCACAACCTACATGTTGTGGCCTTAATCAAAAGCACACTTATCAGTACTAAGTACACGTTTGTATTAATATATTACAGAGCACATGATCTGCGAAATTACATAAAATCAGAGCCCAGAGCCAACTTCTCTTCATGATTAAAATAGTGGTATACTATGAGCTTATAAGTTTTGGATCTGTAACTGTTAAATGGCAAAGAAGCTAATCACGTCCTCCATGAATTAATGCTTTACTGCAGACAGTGCAGTAAATGGTTAAACATGAATTCATACCATATGGATCAGTGAATAGCATAAAGAGTAAGGGTAAAAGAAAAGTGTTGAATGAGAAGACCTGAATCGTTGGCTTTATCAAAATAATGTATTTGAATGCATACAGTATAAGGTAGTGAAATGTATCAAAACTTTTTCAGTAACTAAAAACAATACAATCTTAGTTTATTTTAAACTCCCTAGCAGCATAAAGTACCAAAACCTTGAAAAACAGATCTACAATAAAAAATGAAACCTCAAACTGTTGCATGCAAAAGACAGTGGCAGTAGTTAACCAACCTACAGAGGAAGTGGAAGAGTTAGCAGAGTTATTAAGTGGTAAATCTGAGAAATAAAACATTATATTTTGATCATTTCACAGCATTTATGTTTAAAACACAATAAATACAAATACACCTTCACATAACCCTGCAGTTGTTTGCAGTCAAAGACATGATTCAAGATAATTCAAAGGGAATTGTTTTGGTGAATGACTCTCCTATTCTTTATGTAATTAATGTTATACGTATACACATGTTAGCAAATATGTATGTGCTGTGCAACAAATGTGAGCAAAAATGAAGAAAATCTTCATATCTTATGTGCCCAGGCTTTTTACGCTGTGAAATTGAAATTATTATCAAGTGTCTCTTTTCATACCAGTGATGTATTGGGGTTTATACTCTAGTATCATGGATATGCGTAGTGCTGTGTTGAACAAAGTTACACGTTTAGAGTAATCTCAATTTAAGCGACCCTACCGGAGAAAACTCTTATCCTCCCGTTTGAAAGAAGCTGCCTGTCCAAGTGGAATTCAAACCTGAAAATCTTGAAGTAACTAGCCTGAGGTGAGGTGTATGCAGAGAAGTTATAAAAATGTGCCAAAGGTTAGAGACGTGTTGATTGCCTGCACTACACAGCTAATGTGTAATGAAAGTCATGTTTTTTTAAAAACTCCTCAAGCTTTCAAGCCTTCAGGAAATACAACGAGATTTGTTTGCAAATGTGCATGTTGACTACTTTAACTACTACTTTAAGTAACTATCATAAATCTATAAAGGTAACTACCATCAATCTAGTCACAGACCTGACAGACAAGCACTGACTGCTAGGCTGCTGCTGCTCTCACTTCTAAGGATGCACATTCCTTTGAATGGAGTTTAATGTCTGCATCTTTTTAGCCTAAAAATGTATATATTCCTGTGTCACCCTGCTACATGACATCATACTTCAGGTCATAACTGTGTTAGGATGTCATACCCATTTCTTCCAGGCTCATGAGCTGTCCCGAGACGGTGGGCAGCGCTGTTTGGGCAGGAAATCCATTCTCCTTCAGGAAGGACATGGCGTATGTCTGCACCTCGATCATGTTGCAGTTTTTACTGTCGTCTGAGTTTGTGATCTTCAGGACGTACTCGCCACCCTCCACAGCCGCCACATAAAAGTTCTGGTCATCGTAGCTGGGCAGAGAGCGGATTTCTGATGGTGTCAGCCTGTAGAGCCTCTTCACCAACTCAGCGCCCTGAGGCTGGCTTAAGTTAGGCTTGGTATGCTGAGCTGCCATTACTGCTGAATAAAAAAACAGTATGCTATTAAAGAGAATTTCTCTTGAAACAGACAAATTAGCATCGTGCAGTTGTATAGTCGACTTTAACACTTCCCAGTATAACCTTTAGTCAACAAAATGTTTATTGTGCTTTGCAAGCCTAAATCCTCTTGTGCATATAACTGGTGAGAAGGGTTTTTATATTTCTGCACATGTATCCTCTATTAACTGCTATTTGATATTGTAAAAAAGAAGAATTTCAGCCACTTACCAAATAAATATGAAACACGTTTGAAAAATTTCTCCACCATAACTATTTGGAATTTGAGTCTTAGCAATACATTTGGTTTTATTTACTTGTTTATTTTCGTTATTTTAACAGATGTAAGCTTGAGTTCAATCCACTAGATATCTCCATGTTTAAATATTTACCTTGGCATGTTGGAGTCAAATAACAGACCTTCATTATTCGACATAAAACTCCGACAGGAAGTTTTTCAGGGAATCCCGTACACACTCTAGATTAAACCATATGTCGCCATCACTGGACAGATAGGCTACAAAATCACCACAAACATCACTGAGGGGAGTGTGTTTAATAACACGTTTTGCAGCGGTAGTGTTACAAATATAAACCTTGCCTATCTGAGTAAAAGAAATTTACGAGAATCATGAATTAATTAAAGTCAGATACAGTTCCGCCGGTCAGGCTGATGTAACATTGTAACGTTATTCAACAGACGGAACGAACAATATAGTCAGAGCCTTATTATATAGATGTTTTTACAGGACACTGGGCTCGACTACATGGTATAACCATAGACTGTAAATATTATATTTAACATATATAACATAATACCGTGACATAATGATTTAGTCACATTACGTTAGACTTACCTCTCTTCGCTTTGAGTGTCCGCCATTGACGACCATCTGAAATAATGTGGACCTATACCTATAAACCAAACATAAACCTTCCAGAATGGAAAGATAACCATATCCGGTTTGATTTTTCAAAATAAATCAACGCACAATAGTGTATTCAGATAAAGACGGTGGGTTATGATAAATAATATGCTTTAATAACGTCGTTACGTGCGTGCTTCTCGTCTTTAATCTAGGTGCTCCATTCACAGAAAATAAAAGGTGGATGTCCTACAACTATATCAGGTATGGAAAAGATAACATTTGGTTGTTAATTTCGATGGTACTAAGATACGAGACACACGCAAAGTAGGCTTGTTGACGTTGACCAGGACACAAATAGGAAAATTATTTCATTTAAAAAAAAAAAACGTTAAAACAAAATACGGTAAGGCGTTGTTGTCAGGGTAACTCAAAATAGCCTACCAGGCAACTTCCTTTTTATTTCAAAATAAAACAATCTTGATAAAGTGTGTTTTTTTTCACATTTTTAAAATGGCCACAAACTTTTAACAAGGGTATTTGAGGTACTTTTTTATTCCAACAAGCTTTGGAGCCATTTTAGCTTGTTTCATTAATATTGCAATATCACTTGGCTATGAGTTTGACAAGAAAAAACACTGCTCTAGCAACAAGCAGCTGACAGTGACTGTCTTAAGAAGATTCCCTTGTCTTTGTTCTGTTTTGTACGTCTACAATATTTGATGTTGACTATTGAACTGAACAAATGTCTTCGCATGCAAATGCAGTTATTGATGCTCAAACAAGAAGAGCACTGAAGAAATTGACATATAATTTGTTGGATGGATACACTGTAGGGGAAACAGGAAGGCTGCACACACAGTTGTAAGTTGGTCTTTGGCAAATTAATTATGGTGCTCCTTGAATGTTATTTATCATGCTGCAGCTTTAACATCATGATAGTGCCTTGCCACAAGCAAACCATCCCCCTTAAACCTATCTCAACCTTTTTGTTTACAGAAAACAGGCATGTAAGCCAGTAATGACCTGAATGATTTCTGTAAGGAACCAAGGTTAGACTGTTTATCATGGTATATGTCGTCTAAAAGAGTGTTCAATGTTTCTTTCCAAAACCCCCTTTATGATTAATTAGAGTAGACTCATGCTGAAGTAGGCTTATTTAAGTGGACCAGGACAAATAGGAAAAGGATTTTATAGCCTAGCTTTTTTTTCCCTCTCGCAAACCTTCATAAAAATATAGGACAGTAAGACATTGTTATCACGGTAAAATCAAAATACAAGGCAACTTGTTTTTATTTTCGAAACAAGAAACTTGATGAAGTGTACTTCATGTTGTTTTTTATTTTTTTACATTTTTAAAATGGCCAAAAACCTTTAACTGGAGTATTGAAAGTGTGTTTTTTGCTCGCTTGTTTTTTATTTCAACAAGCTTTGGAGCCATTTCTAATTCAAACCGTTCTTAAATTCCCTCTCAACTTCTACTACTAATAGTAATAATAATGCATTTTATTTACGGGCCTCAAGGGTCACTCAAGGTCAACTTACAGACAGCAGTAAAACAGTAAGTAAAAACAAGAACACAATCAACTACATAAAGAAAGTTACGAGAGAACCAGGATTTAACTTCAAGGAGACAGTCGGGGAGGGATAAAGGTGGGAGTGCGGAGTTGGGCTTAGAAGGCAGATAGAGCTGGGTGTCATCCGCGTGGCATTTAAAGTGAATACCAAATTTCCTGAAAATGTGACCGAGAAGTAGGTAAGTACCAAGACAGGTGGTTAGGTTAGTGTTGTTAGAAACACTAACATAGACCTCTCATGCTGTCCTGGAATGCTAATGGGTCCAGGGCTGCTTATAGCTCCTCTTCTTAAGGGGAAATTAAAAGGCAGAAGTGAAAACGATGGGTGCTTGACATATTGTCACATCAATTCAATAAACAAAGCTATGTGGTCTTACTTCTTTTGATCGTGATTATAATGACTCATGACAGAATGATAGCTTTTTGTCCAGAACAAAGAGTCTGCGGTGGCTCAGAATTTGCCTGTCAGGCCAGCCAAATAGCAACTTTCCCATCAGACATTTAATCTCTCACTCAATTTTTGGCTGTCTCTCTTTTACGATTTGTTTTCTAAAGTTTATTTCTCAAAGCTTCTCCATCTGGCTTGGATCATTTAACAAACAGACTGCATTCAAACTCTGACATGTGCTCACAATCCTCTATCATTTGACGCTGGAAAAATGGCACAGCGCACAGTCTTTCAACTGCAGACTGCTGTTAAAGGCAACTGAAAGCATTTCCCCCATTTCATTTGCTTGTATGAGCACATTTTGTCATGGCCAAAAATTTCAACCCAAGAAGTATGATCCATATATTCTTAATCCTTTGGAAAAACATGTGCATTTAGGTTAGTGTGCGTTTCTTGTGAGATGAATAGGGAGGCTTTTCTTCAGGGGCAGATGTGTGTGCATCTGTCTAGAAGACACATTCATGTCAAGTGCATCTGAATGATCTTTATTTTCTTATCATAGCTCCAAAATGGTACTGACTGCCTGCAGCAGTAAAATGATTTTTTTTTTGGGCTGGTAGGGCGTTGGCAGTCATCTCAGACCACCTGTCATAAAGCATTCTCTCAACACAGACAGAAGAGGTTAGGGAAAAATGTCAGCTGGTCAACAAATACAGAGGATGCTTTTCTTACTGCTTGACAGGCAGCCAGATGAAGCCAGTCTGTCACATATAACCCAATATTAATTTGATCCTGTCCTCTTTCTCTGTACCCATCTGTCTGTCCTCTCAATATTTATATTGTCCTTTTCCGACTCTGAATTGATTTTATCCTCATCAGCGCTCAGACAGAACCAAAGGATTGTAATGGCTCTTTGATAATACACAGCTTTGTTACCACAAAATAAGCTTTTATTGGCAAAAGGTAATTGAACAAAATTGTAAGAATAGTGAAAGATAACCCACTTTTTGAATGCACCACTGACAGACATTAAAATTAGAGAACACGTTTTTTCCAGAATCCTTGACAATACCTAAAACTTACAAGAAAGATGCTAAGCTATATTTTACAGAACAAGATAGTGCCTGTTGTTTATATAAGACCTGATTGGGTTGGACAAATATGAAAAGCTTTACAGACAATAACCAACAGAATGAGGAGAAAATTCCTCTTCAAATATCCAAACACAAGAGACAGCCTGTTCGACAAAATCCATGTTAGGCACAGATCTTAAAACCTGTACGTGACAAAATAGCAGAATATTTGTCCGTAGAAAAGGTGGAGGGAAAAAACGTCGCTCTTGTTGCAATCGGCAGCAGGTGACTGTCTTAACTAGTTCACCCCTTTGGAACAGTAAAGTTAAAGTTGATGTTGACAAAAAAAAGCCATTGTCAAAGCTCTGTTTGTGCATGTACAATATTTTACATTGACCATTGAACTGAACAAATAGTTTGTCTTGGCATGCGACTGCAGCTGTCAATGCTCAGCAGAGGAAGCCATATCACTATTTCCCAAATGCTGTTCAGTTATAGCCTGCAGCTATAAAAACAAGAAGAGCAATGAAGAATGTGACTTATTTGTTGGATAGATACACTGTAAACAATGTAGGTGAAACAAGAAGGCTGCACACACACGGACACATTGCCTTTGTGTGTGGATGCATGGCTTGTATGTTGGGCATTGGGAGATGAATTATGATGCTCTTCGATTGTTATTTATCATGCTGCATCTTCAACATCATGATAGTGTCTTACCACAGACAAACCATCCCCCTTAAGCCTTCTGTTTAAATGACCTGAATGATCTCTGTAAGGAACCAAGGTTAGACTGTTTATCATGGTAAATACATGTATGTTATTTAAAAAAGCCAAGGTTGTGTAGTTGGAGTGTTCAATCTTTCTTCACAATATGCCCTTTATGATTCATGTGGCAAAGTGTTTTTGTTTTTTGAATTACCATGATGAATTTTATTATGTTTGCCTTTGTGGTTTTTCTATTGCATTAAGAATAGGTATTGATGTGTGTTTAAAAAGTTGGAGTTTGCATTACATTATCTATTAAATTAATAAAAATTACATTTTGAAGAAAAGACATATTAAGACTTGATGGCAGATGTTTTTGCATTAACATCTGTACTAAAAGCATTTTGTAAGTAAGATGCCAATGGAAGCAACATGGACGGAGGTATGGACACCTCAATGCTGCTTGTCATAAGCTGTGTAATCGTTTGTACTTCTTAATAGAATAAAGCATATGAACTGTATATACTACTTACAAGATCAAGGTTTTGCCAAATTATTTTTTTTTATGTATTGGAAAAAACTGAAAGGGTCCTCTCAATCAGTTTCCTGAAATGTATTCCCAGACATTTATTTAGATAACAAACCTGACAGGGACCTGAATATTCCCCAGTGAATTATCCCACAGCTCTGTAGCCCCTTTCAGCTATTCAGAGACTAGGTTCAGATCCTTGCCCTTATTTAACTGCTAACACCTAAATTTGTCTGGTTCAGTCTTAGTGCTGTCTCCAAAATCATTGCAAGACTGGCTTTCAGTTAAAAAATAAATAAGACCTGTTGTCCTGTTTTCTTCCCTTCCCTTTTTGTCTCTCTCGCCCTCTCCTCTTCTGCAGGTTGGAGCTCCCCTACACTCCACTACAGCTGCTGATTGAGCTCACACCATACTGCAGCTTACAATCAATGCCCACAGCATTAAGATCAGGAGGGACAGTGGGTCATCTGTTCATTTGTATGTGCATGACTTTGTGCTGAAATCGTGTCATTTTCTGCACAAAACCAGGTATCTGAGGGAAAAAAAGGTTAAAACACATTTAAAATGCAATTTGTTTGTATCCTCCATCTGCCATCCTGTTCATATTTATGAACCAACCTTTAGCTTTTGCCTTCATATCTGCCATGAGAAAATGAGCGAGAGGTTAAAGCTGTGAAACAGACACTGTTGACGGACCGCATTAGCACTGCATATGAATATTTGGGTATGGGTAAGTCCAAACTTGCCTTGACTATTTAATAGATAAGCTGTTGCTGCGGTGCACCTCATAACA